GTCGTGTGCTCCCCGGGAAGTTGATGGGGGGAGCGCCGTACTTGCGGTTTGTGTACTTGTCGCCTTTGGTCAGATCTACGAAGACGTTGTCCTCGCACTGCTCGCCCGCACCTCTGGACACCCGCACGCCGCGATCAGAAGCGCGGGTCAACGCAGCGTTGGTTCATGGTATGAATGGTTACGCACCGGCATTCGTGCTGCACCCGACGATCAAATCTACGAACTGTTCCATCATCTGTTTCATTCCGCCATTTTCGTGTTGAGTAAAGGCCAACCAGGTCGAGACGCGAAAGATGAAGGGGACAGGTCATGTCATGACGTTACCTCCACAGGTGAAGTATACGTTGGAGCCGTTGGGATCGATGACGATCCTGTTTACAATGTCGTTGTGACACGTGAACAGGTGACGCACCTTTGCTCTGCAGCAGCACAGCAGCAGCAGCAAAAGGGAACTCAAGTGAGATTAGGGAGTGCACACACAGGTCACACATTCGACGACACATGGTGCATCCTATAGGGTGGTTGAGCTCGTACCGAGAACCACGGCCCGCTCTCGGCACGTGCGTCACGATGATGTTGCCGTCAGCGCCGCAGGAGACTACCTGCTCTTCATCGGTCTGTGGCAGAAAGAGGGCACTGCATGTGGAACCCGACACGGTTAGAACTTTTCAGAAGTGCTGTGAGCGCACGCATCAGCGCAGTACGCTGGTACCAAAAGACATTCGCGGAGTGGCCTGGCGTGAGAGTCACCCTCTTCCTCATTCGCACCATGTCCCATATCTTCAACTGCAGTTCATCACGCCATGCCGAACGACGCGCGCGACACGCACCACAAACACGACGCACACAACGTGTCAGCGTTCACCTCGTGCATGGTCATGGCAAGCGAGAAGGCCTTAAACCTTAGTGTCGTCGCTCCCAGAGATAAGGAACTTGCCGTCGGGGCTCCATTTGATGGTGTTGACGCAGCCCCGGTGCCCGTCCAAGGTCTGCACACGCTGCAGACGCGGCACCCAACACGGCAGCGAGGTGACCTCTCTGTGGGGATTGATGAATGAGGTAATCTGGCAACTAGCAAATAAATTGATGCTTGTTGATGTACCGCTGGAAGGTGTGCCGCAGAATCTCGTGCCGCCTCTTTGTGGTCTCGACGCTGCACCCACCAGCCCCCTCCCGTGCCCGCAGCAGATGCACCAGATCCATCCTCTCTTGTGCTATTCTTTTCTTTTCTGACTTGTTTTTTACTGCATTTTCAATTTTATATTGCAGGTCTGAGGTGGGGAACGCGGCATCGTCATCAAGTCCCCCTCTTGCCAAAGGCGAGATCGGGCAGGCTGGTCTTCATGGCCCTGGTGAAGGATCGCACCGTCCCGCCCCCGGACGAGGTGGTCAAGGACGACCCCGACCCGCTCTTGCTGCGGCTTCTGAAGCCGCTGGAGGAGAAGAGCTGCTGCTCGCCCGATCCGTCCAGTTCGCCCGAAGACGAACCGGATGTAGGCGACTCGCAGTCCTCCATCTCCTTGAGCGCTCGGTACCCGTCGCCCATGATGCCCGCCTCCTGGACCATCTCCTGGAACAGCCCCACCGACTGGGGCCGCAGGGACATGGCCCGCTTCTTGCGCGACGAGAGGGAGAAGCCCAGAGTCGCCGGCGCCGGTCGCACGGCGGCTCGAGGCGACAGCAGCGACGTCGATGTCATGGAGGCCTCCGGCGGCGAGGTGGATGTGGATGTTGATGGTAAAGTGGTCGCCTTGTTGTTGCTGCTGGTGGTGGTGATGGTCGGAGACGAAGAAAGAGGTGGAGATGACGTAGGGGTGGTGGTAGTGGCGGTCGGCGCGATCCACGGGCCGGGGAGTGTGGCACGGCGGAACGGCAGGCTGAGGATCTTGCCCAGCGAGTGCTTGCGCCGGTGCTCCGTCACCTGCTTGGGCAGCAGGTCCGCACTCTCCTCCATCTGCTGCTTGGCCGTATCAGGCGGCGACCCGGCGCTGTCGAGGAGGTGCAGCTTGGCGTAGGAGCCGCTGAGTCTGATCGGCTTGACCTTGGCCCGTCGCGCCTCCCGCCGCTCGGCCTCTGGACTGGACGAGCCGCGCGACTGCGGGGAGGCCGCTGTGCGCTGGCCGATGACCAGGCAGTCGGTCGAGGCAAACATGCGGTGCTGGTCCAGCTCGACCAGCTCCTGCGCTCTTCCGGTGCTCACCAGGCGGTCAGACCTGGAGAGAGCTCGATGAATTGAAGGAGGCGATGGGCTGGAGGAATCTGCGCTGGCTGATGATGAGGCGGTTGGGGAGGAAGAGAGCTGTGGCGAGTTTGAGGCGGGAGCCTTCTTGGGCGCACTG